TAACGAAGCCATGCCACTGTATGAGAAATTGGGTGGGGTGAAAGGAGTTGCGGAGAAGCTCGGGACGGACCTCAGCAATGGTGTTCAATCCGAGAGTGTTGCACAACGCTGTGCGATGTTTGGGAGGAACGAGCTGCCAGAAGAGGAACCACTGACGTTCTGGCAGATCTACGCAGCGGCATGGAGCGACCGTATGATCCTTCTTTTGACGGCCGCCGCTTTCGTGTCGTTGGTGCTCGGATTGACTGTGCCGGAGCCTGGAGAGGATAAAGTGAACCGCGAGACCGGGTGGATTGAGGGCTTTGCAATCATTGTGTCGGTATTCGCCGTGACGACAGTGTCCTCTGTGAATGACTACCGCAAGGACCAGAAGTTCCGCCGACTGACGGAGGAAAACTCTGCCCAACCGATTGTTGTGACCCGCGATGGGAGGGAACAGACGATCGACGTTACGGAGATCGTTGTGGGTGACCTGGTAAGCCTGGTGCCTGGGCTTGTTGTGCCTGTGGATGGCTTCTACGTGCGTGGCATCAGTGTTGTCATTGACGAGAGCAGTGTGACCGGTGAGAACGACCCGAAGAAGAAGGGCGCGGAGGCGCCGATCCTCCTCACTGGCACAGTGGTGAACACGGCGGAGGACNCGTACATGCTGGCGTGTGCCGTGGGCGAGTCCTCGTTCGGCGGGAAGCTGCTGATGGAGTCGAGGCAGGAAGGGGGGCCGCGACTGACGCCGCTGCAGGAGCGACTGGACGAGTTGGCAGGATTGATTGGCCGTTTCGGAATTGCAAGCGCTGTTGCTCTATTCGTGGTGCTTTCAGTGATAGAGGGAATTCGCATCGCACGTGGGCAGTCAGCACATGGGAAAACGTTCCTGGATTTTTTCCTGCTATGTGTGACGATTGTGGTGGTAGCTGTGCCGGAGGGCCTTCCGCTTGCGGTGACCATTGCGCTTGCGTACTCACAGAACAAGATGCATGACGACAACAACCAAGTGCGGCGTCTGTGCGCGTGTGAGACGATGGGGAGCGCAACACAGATCTGCAGTGACAAGACCGGTACGCTGACGCAGAACCTGATGAGTGTTGTGCAGGGCTATGTTGCGATGCAGCGTTTCAACGTGCGTGATCCCGGCGACCTGCCAACAAAGGTCACGCTGGGTAACGTGCCGGTCTGTGCGCGGGAGCTGCTGACGGAGGGCCTTTCGCTGAACAGCTCGAGCGAGAAGGTGGTGCGCAACAAGGACAAGGACGGCAACCCGATGGCCCAGCCCTTCTGGCAGTGGCGGTCCGACAAGGGGAACAAGACGGACAATGCGCTGCTGGACTTCGTGGACCGTGTGCTGATGCAGGAGACAGACACCACTGACATGACGAGCCGTCCACACCAGCGCGTGCGTGAGCGGTGCCGCGTGCATGGCTTCACCATCTTTCCGTTCACAAGCGAGCGCAAGTTCATGAGCGCTGTTGCGACCGGGCCCGACGGGGAGCTGACGCACTACGTGAAGGGTGGGTCGGACCGCGTGCTGGACATGTGCGACCGCTACATGACTGCCACTGGGCACGAGGAGCCGCTAACGGATGCGGCGCGGCTGAAGATCGTGACGCAGATCCGCTCACTGGCGAGCGACGCGAACCGCACGATCGGCGTCGCGTACGCGCGTGTTGGCGGCGGCGCGATCCCGGAGGCGGAGCCGACGGTGCCGCTTGTGTGGCTGGCGCTTGTGGGCATCCAGGACCCGCTGCGTGCGGAGGTGCCGGAGGCAGTGCGGAAGTGCCAGCAGGCTGGCGTGACTGTGCGGATGTGCACCGGCGACAACCTTGACACGGCGATTGCCATCGCGCGGCAGTGCGGCATATACAACCGGCTGCGCGGCGACGTTGCGATGACGGGGAAGGACTTTCGAAACCTTGTGTACGACTCGTACGGAAATGAGGCGAACATGGAAAAGTTCTGGCCGATCCTTGACCGCATGGTGGTGATGGCGCGCTCGCAGCCGCTGGACAAGCAGCTGTTGGTGCTGATGCTGATGTCGCGCGGCGAGGTTGTTGCGGTGACGGGCGATGGGACGAATGATGCGCCCGCGCTGCGGCTGGCGAACGTTGGCTTCGTGATGCGCAGCGGAACCGACATTGCCGTGAAGTCCGCAGACATTGTGCTGCTTGATGACAACTTCCGCTCTGTGCAGCGTGCCGTGGTGTGGGGACGGACCGTGAACGACAATATCCGCAAGTTCCTGCAGTTGCAGTTGACTGTGAATATTGTTTCTGTTGTATTGACTGTGATCGGCTCAATTGTAGCACTTGGTAAGAGCTCCCCACTGAGCACTGTGCAACTGCTGTGGGTGAATTTGATCATGGACACACTGGCGGCCCTTGCCCTGGCCACAGAGGAGCCATCAGAGGATTGCCTGAACCGTGGCCCCGTCTCCCGCAAGGCCCCACTAGTGTCGCACCGCATGTTGTGCACAATGGTCGCTGTAGCTTCTTTTCAGGTTGCCAGCGCCCTGCTAGTGGAGCGTTTTGGCAATCTTTGGCTCGAGGTAACAGGGCCCGAGTTGCGGACGATAACGTTTAATGTGTTCCTACTGTCAACCATGTTTCATTTATTTAATGCTCGTAAGCTACACGAGGAGTTAAATATGTTTGAAGGCCTGTGGCTAAGATCAAAGGTGTTTATTGCCGTTTTGTGTTTCTGTGCCGCCTTCCAGGTGTTCGCTGTGGAGACGCTTGGCGAGTTTATGAATGTGGTGCCGCTTCGCTTAGACCAATGGCTTTTCTGTGTGGTAGTATCATCCTTAGCACTGGTGTTTGGTGCAGTTTCGCGGCTTGTGTCAGTGGAGGAACCGACGTTCTCGAAGGAGTTTTCGGTAGGAGATATGGAACCGGATGCGCAGCGCATGGCGATGAGGCTGGCGTCAGACATATCGCGGCGCATGTCGGCTGAGGATGACGGCAAACACCTCAAGTTAGGGCGGCGCGTGCTGGCTAAGGCCATGTGGCAACAAGTACGGGAACACCATGTGGCAGTGAAGAGTGTGAATGCGTTCCGCCGGGCCCGACTTGATCGGGATATGCATACGGGCGTAGCAAAAGATATGTATAACCGGCTCGTCACTTCGATGTACTGAGAAGAGCATTGGTGAGGCACTGAATTGCCACTGAGGAGTTTATGATTTAGGTTTTTTGGTTTCTTTTTTGTTTCTCTTATAGCATGGCAGTATGGAGGCGTTTGATCAAGTATTCACGGGCGTAGCAGAAAGAGAAAAAAAAACAACAACACGGACGCTGCCTGTTTTGTGTTTATTGTTTGTGTTGTGTGTTTTGCCCCTGCGTCCTGCAACGGCTTCGTTGCTGCACGTATAGCACGTTTGCTCTCTCGGTGGTCTTGCTGTTGTTGTTGTTGTTGTGGGTTTGCTGGCGCTGCAAAGAGGGAAGAAATAGGGCGAGAACAGCCTCCATTCCGAGGGACACAGACTCACACCCACAGAATAGTAGAAAAACAAAAAAAAAGGATAGAACACGGAACACATGTCGGAGGGGCTTTTGACACAGTGGCGCGACCGTGTTGTTGAGGCCGAGACAGAGGTGAGTGTAGTGCAGGAGGACATCAATGCTCTGCTGAAGCAGCGCAAGGAGATCAAGCTGGACATTGTGCGGTACGACAAGCTTGTGCAGAAGGAGAAGCAGGAGATGCTGAGCCGCCTGGAGGAGGTCGAGACGCAGGCGCGGGAGCTTGAGGAGAGTTGCCAGAAGACGCTGCAGCAGAAGACACGCGTAGAGGAGATGTACGTTCAGACCCTGGACAACTACGAGTCCTTGCACGAGGTCGTCAAGGCCATTCAAAAGGATGAGGAGGACCTGCAAAGCCGTGAGGACGTGGAGGCAGTGCTGCAGCGTGAGAGCTTGGCGTGGGCGGAGGAGGAACACGCCCTCCGCACGAAACTCAACACCATACAGAGCGCAATGAAGGTGAAGCGTAAGCAGCGACAGGAGGAGATGTCGACACTTGAGGCGCAGTTGGCGGGGGCAGAGAGGCAGCTGCAGCAGGTGCGGCACGAGCGTCAGGGACAGGCGCAACAACAGGTATACAGCGCCAAACCCAGCCGTCGTGGAACACCACTCGCAACTACACAACGCCCGTCTACCGCTGTTGGTGCTGCACCCGAGGCGGCCCAGAAGGAGCAGCAGTTCATCGCTGCAAACGCCTCCACTAGCGTGCCGACGCGCCAGCTGCGGTCATGTATGAAGAACAGCAACGCCACAATGGACAGCTATCAGCACGGAGATCATAAGACACAGCTGAGCAGTAGCGGCAATGGTCCTGCCGTGCGTTATCAATCAGCTCCGGTGTCACGTGCCGCCTCGCAGGCGTTGGTGGCCGGTGATGACGGTGACGACAGTGTCGTCGCTGGTCTTTCCACGCCACACCGGGCGTATTCCTACGTGTCCGGCAAGAAGGCCGGTGGAAGGAAGCGCGACGTCCTTGGTGATGCCACAAACCGGTAGAGCGTCGTCTATTTAAAGAAAGAAAATCCCTATATATATATATA